AGCTAGCATAATACTCGTATGTTCCATGAATATAGTACATACTTATGTTAAATTCCAACTTGGTGTGGAATGTGGCCAATGCAGCAAAAAGTTCCTCTTCGTAGCTTCAAAGGAAAGGGCACTGAACTCAGCTTGACCAACGTCTAAATAAATTCTCAAAGTATCAGACAATGTTTTAGATAAATATTCATCTGATAACCCTTTCCTGAAGTTAAATTCATAACGATGATTGAGGATAAGAGTTCTTAAATAATTCATCATTGTTTTCGTAGTTATATATACCTAGTTAGTTAGACCTGCAAGTAGTTGAATATTCAAGTTTTTTTAATTTTTTCCTCAGAGACAAGACCTACTCAGAAAAGGATTTCTGTTTTTTAGTCCCTTTCATCTTAAAACGGAACATAATAGCAGTTGCGGTTTAGATTTAATGACTCAAAAATATAGTTTTTTTTAACTTGAACAATGAAGTCGCAATTTTTGTCTTAATAAATATTATGAAAGGGAAATGTAATAAGTTCCTTATTCCATATTAATTTTTAACTTCATACTTTAATAAACTTAAGTACTTGATACTTAGTGAATGACTTTCTGATATCTATATAAATACAAATTAATCGCAAAATATGTTGCTAAACGCAAAAGTCGAAAAGGGCTGGACCAATTAACGTATTTTTTTTAAATTTATACCTTGAACTTTTATAGAGAGAAAAATGGAAACATCTGTTTTTATTCAGAAACAGCGAATAGTCAGTTAAATGTTACATATGTTGGTCACTACTTAAAAGCTAGGCTAAGAAAAAATATTATTAAGACGAAACGAATTTCACAGGCATGTTATGAAGGATTTACTAAGTCAGTTACTGAATATAAAAAGCATTATCAAGGATGACGTACAGTTCGTACTAACGCTTTGTAATAATTCTTATCCCGCATCCTTCCCACTTAAAACACAATTCGTTAAAAAATCGTCTGTCATATTTGTAATAGAATTACTTAGTTAAAACCATTATGCTAACACTTTAGTTGCTTAATGAATAGCCCTTTCTTTGAACTACGGTCAAACGGACCCTCCTGTCTCCTTAATGCCCCGTGTGCTTCAAACGAGATCGCGTTTGCAATTTATGTGAAAGGGTTAATATTGCATTTTAGCGTGTGTTGTAAAAGACAAATTGCTTTTGATTTTTGCAAACTCGTATCTTTCAAAGTATTGAAATATGTCGTTAAGCATTTTGTTATCATCATTCCATTATTAATATTGGAAATCAATAATAATCGAAATGCAAACACTATATTTACTGCACATACAATTATGAATGCACTTCATATTTATCTCTCTACGTCTGTTTCCTTTTATTATCTTTTACTACTACAAATGGCTGATGATCACAGCAGTACTGGCCTAGAGTCATTAAGTATTTGGCTTTTAGTTATTTGACAAACAATTAGTGTGACATTATCCGCCAAAACGTTTCTATTGAATCTTCAACATAATAACAATATAATCGCGAACCCCATTGAAAACTAATTAGCTGCTTCAGATGTCTAATTAGAAATTCCAATTAGATATTTGGCGGTGTTTCCTTTCGCAAATTCCGGGTGAAAACAATAATTGTTATCGGTGGCCACCCAGGCAGAAGGTTTGATTTGGGGTATTATTTCGAAACGGCCGGCCCTTTTTAGGCCGCCCTCGCCGCGATAGATCTCTTTTTGATGTAACCACTTCCTACGTCGTTATAAATGTACGCGTACATTTATTACGTTTTATATAATTATTTTAATTATAATAATTCTTTTTTATAACACGAAGGCTGCCGGGAAGGAGGCATAACTGATTATAGCAGATACCACTCCGCTCATACTGCCGAAGGCTAGCCAGTATGTTTCTAGCTTTTTGAGATACTGCAATATCTATTTAAAGTAAAGCGAAAAAACTCATAGTTGCAGCAAACAGGTACACAATTGAAAGTCCTAAGGCAATATTTTTGCGTCATAAATAAGAAAAACGTCATAAAAATACCCCATTCTATTGGGATGTCCATTGAATAAGAATTGTTAGCAAGTTGATTGTGTTAAAAATACAGTTTATCGGACCACGACTGTTGAAAAGCACTCGAAACTTCGAGTTATGTAAAGTATTAAATTCGCATTAATACCCGTTCAATAAGTTTTCTTTAAATATTAAATACTTTTGATGGACTATAATAGATGATGATGATAAGGTTAATGTCGAGTTTTTTCTTGAATTTCCTTACAATTTTTCCAATTCAATTACGTTTAAATACTAACTATTTATGTAGTTGAAAGTTCTGTATTATTTCTTCCGGTAATCTCATGTTCCAATACATACTGTCTAACTAGAATTGTATTCCAGTTGGACTATATAATTCTTCTAAGATGTTAAAATATTCTCTTATACAAGGATACAGAAAATAGAACCAGTGTCTGTACGTGCACGAACCGCTTTAAATGTGTACATTTCCGGGTAGACTCGTATTTATTTAGATTTAATTTATATGTATTGCTGTTATGTAATGTTTATTTTACTAGGCTATTAAGGTTGCTAGTAATGTCCAATTAATTTAATTTTTTTACATTCAAAAGTGAGAAAGTTGGTTGTTTTGGTTTAATTAAAGCATTTTTTTTAATTATACCTGATATGGCCGCGACTTTGTAATAAGAATATGATTATCTTGAAGTCACGGACACCAACGAATAATATAAATCGTTATATTGATATATGATCGTTTCCATTCTTCACTAACTCTAGGTCCTCCTTACGTTCTTCCAAAGATTAGATATAGATAGTATTGCACTTTGTATGTAGATTTGGCGGTAATATTTAGCTTTAGATTGTAATACAATCTAAACTAAACTCTCCGTTACTCTATTACACGAAGTATTCTTGTTATCAACCAGCTATCCTTAGTATCTAAGTGTGTAAAAGTGTTACCCTACTTGTTGTTTGTACAAAAGTGCTGTAGTTATAGACACCAAAATACCAATAATTTCGGACAATTAAAAAATAAATAGTTCAGTGGCTCTACAACCTTTTAAGGTCTGGGCCTTAGATTTCTGTATTTGTTTCATGATTAATTTTTGATACCTGATACACACCGTCGATGTTTTCTTTCTCCGTTCAAGCGAATGTTAAATGCGCACATAGAATGAAAGTCCATTGGTGCACAGCCGGGGATCGATCCTACGACCTCACGCTCAAGCCACTAGGCCAACTGCTCATGCAATTTCGGACAATTAATTTTCTTAATACAATTTAAAGTTCAAATCGGTGTTTAGTTTGAAGTGAATGTAATTCGCTGAACATTTGCATAAGACGTTGTCAGATTGTCGGAAGGGTTAGGAACTTAAGGGTTGATCCTGGGATTATCCCGATAATTATTTCAATTGTTTATGCCTGTCGACGCTGCATTTAGATGGCGTATTATAGTTTGTTGAGTGTTGTCTTCATTACTGGGAGAATAACGTGCGGAATGCGAATAGGCTTATGTTATCAAAATGTTTTGAAGCTTCGAAAAATGTCTAATTAGTCAGAATTCTGGACCTTTTTACTTAGGTTTAAAGACTTTATTTCTCAAAAAAGACAAAAAATGTCACTTACATGAGAATAATGCTTTAGATTAACACAACATTGTAGTCGTTCTTAAAATAATCACAAGAAAATATAGCCGTACATGCAATAAACTTGATTATTTTTCCGACCCAAATATCGACCAATAGAATTGCACCATTCGACGTCACGTGGTACAACCTACATGGTATTATACTGATAATTTTTTGAAAATTTTCTCTGGTAGTTGCTTCAAGAAAAGTATTAAGTAGTTGTTTTATTCATTATGAAATTCTTATTTGTTAACTGTACATTTCGTCTCATGGTGCAATTCTATTGGCCGACATTTGGGTCGGAAAAATAATCCCCCGAATACCACACGAGCTTCAAAATTATCTGGCATTTCAATTTTGCAATTTTGAAGCTCTTGTGGTATTATAAGTGAAAATAAAAGTAACCAAAGAAATATGGATTAAAAGTAATTATAAGAAATGAATTTAAAAGTAATTTTGTCTAACATATTTGCTTAGCTTCGATTTGAATGAATTGATAGAAGTAATATTTTATACTTGAAATATACTTCCCTAATGATCCGGTACTATAACCAGAACATTTGATTGTAGTGGAACAAATTGTATAAACTAAGAAATTGTCGGTTCCACCGAGGTTTCGTTAATATCATTTTTTGTACAAGTTCCAATAATACATTTTATAAATTTTGGTATATACATATATGAGGAATATACAGTTGCCTGTTAATACTGTAACAGGCAAAACTATATAACCATTATCAAGACAAACGGCTCTTGTATCTATATATATAAAAGAAAAATGGTCTTCGTTTGAGGCTCCTTCACGCCTAAACCACTGATCGTATCGACATGAAACTACCACCTTATTGCTGTTTTACTTTTATGAAACATTCGGGGAGGCTTCCTAGAACCTCTAAACGTCAACATCTGTTAAAAACTCGATTTTCGAAATATTTCAATTTTCTTAGCGGGAAGTTAAAAAGAAGAATAATAAAAATATGAAAAAAAATAAAATAATGAAACATAAAATTTATTTTAATTCGTCCAGCAAAGCGGGCGCGAAACGGCTAGTATAAGTATATGTCAAAAATATCTGCTTCAGTCCTTCTAAGTCTTGACTCTTCCATTTCTATTTAGAGTCGTTTATTATGAGAGTAATAATTACTTCCATGTTTTATTTAAATACGTTGAAATTCATAAGCGTACAAGGAAGCTCCCTCTAACGTATTGTTGCCCCTCGCTTTATCACCTAATGTTGAGCCCATAACGACAAAAATAGCGATAAGCGATTTTGTAAACATATTTAAAAATATAAGTGTAAAATATATTATGTCACTGATAACGGCTCTTTTTATTTAATTAATAATAATAATAATAATAGCCTTTTATTCCTAAACGTAGGGTTACAAGAGATCCCTAAGTTCGGTGTGCCTTTTGGCATAGGCCTCTTCCAATTCCTTCCAGTGGATCCTGTCCCTTGCTACTCTCAACCAGAATGGTCCCGCTGCCAGTTTCAAGTCATCTTCCCATCTCCTGACTTGACGACCCCTACCTCTTTTGCCGTCTCTTGGTTGCCAGAGAGTGGCTCCATTTGTTAATGGGGTGGCGTAGCAAATGTCCAGCCCATCTCCATTTTTGGACGTCTATCCGCGTAAGAATGTCTATGAGTTTTGTTCTTGTGCTCATGTCTACGTTCCTGACTCTGTCTTTGATTTTTAAACCCAGCATACTTCTTTCCATGGCACGTTGGCATTTTGTTAGCCTTTACCTGTGGTGAAGTGTTATTGACCAAGTTTCGCAGCCATAAGTAAGAACTGGTAGAATACAGGTCTCGAATGTTTTCTTTTTTATGTGATTGCCTAGATTCTTACTTTTTACTATTTCCTTCAGTGACCAGTATTTTCTCCATCCTTGGGCTATTCGTCTGTTTATTTCCTTTGTCGTTTCATCTGAACGGGAAATTATTTGTCCTAGGTAAATATATTCTTTGACATATTCGATCTTGTTGCCATCTACCATAACGTCTATTTCCCTTGAGTTTGACATCAATTTTGTTTTACTGGCATTGATTTCTAGGCCAACTTCTCTACTTATATTTGCTAGGCTCTGCATAATTTGTTCTTTTGCTGCTGGGTTCTCTTCACGAAGCACCAGATCATCGGCAAATCTTAGGTGGTTTAGGCGAGCTCCATTAATGTTCAGACCTAAGTGGTCCCAGTTTAGCTGTCTAAAGAAGTACTCAAGTACGGCGTTAAATAGCGTCAGGGGAGAGAGGATTGCCTTGGCGTACGCCCTTTTTAATAGGAAATGATTCTCCTGTTGATTATAGTTTAATACTGGCCTTCTAGATGTATATATACTCTTAATTAATTCTATATAGTTGCTCTGGACCTTATTGTTCAAGGCTCCGTCATATGTATTGGTGCCTGAGGCTGTCGAATGCCTTTGAATAATATATAAATGCCAGGTAGATTTGTTTTTTGTATTCGTTATACTTTTGTATCAACTGTTTTATTGTGTGAATGTGATCTATTGTGCTGAAGTCTTTCCTGAATCCTGCCTGCTCTACGGGTTGGCTCTCATTTAGTGTTAATGATATTCTTTCCAGGATGACTTTAGCAAATACGTTATATATGTTTGATATTAGAGAAATTGGCCTATAGTTACCAATCTCGTCTCTGGGACCTTTTTTATGTAGCAGAATTATATGAAACTCGGTCCATTCATCTGGAATTTGTCTTGTTTGTAAGATTTCATTAAAAAAATTGTCAGCACAGGACTGATTTCCTCTAAGGTTCCCTTGAGCATTTCATTAGGGATCTTGTCCGGCCCTTTTATTTAACTACCTCGATACAATTAATATTTGATAATTTTTTCTCATTATTGAGTAGTATGCGTTGTCATTGGCTGTAGCCTCACACTTACTCCGTAGGCTCTGCTATCCCAAAATGTGTCTTGGCCGAGAAACTTTTCCACTTTCCGCTATAGTTTTCAGGATACAGTACAGAAGTATACAGAAGCCGGCTAGTGGAAGGAGGCTGGAGACAGATACTAGAATGATAGAGTGTAGGACCTGCAACGAAACGTAAATATAAATATTATTTTTAGAAGTTTTATTTCAATTACGCACAAACCAAACTCCAAAGACAATATTACAAAAAGTACGGTTGCGTCAGTGATTTAACCCAAATAAAACGTACTCTATAAGAACGCTAGCTCATTAACAAAGCTTTGACATTTTATAATTTTGCTTACTTAAACCTCAGATCAAAGAGTATGTGTTCTGTGTCTTAGTGAATGAGTACTTCAATGCCTTCATAATCGCTCCGCTTCTCTAATCGCTCCTAATGTTGCTGGTGGTTTACATATGAGCAGTCGATTCTTCAGATGTTAAATATGAGGCACGTCGCTAATAATGTCTCATTATTGCTAAGAATTACGAAATTTCATACATATTTAGATGAGAAACAAAGCGGATTAATTACTGTTCGTTAAGAGAGCAGTATTTGGTAGCATATATATATGTATGTATGTAATAAATAAACTCCGATCTTTACTGAACTCGTCTGGTAAAGGAAAATAACGACTAATCACTTTTTATTTTTTTTAATCTCATGAAACGGGTCTAAGTCCGAGAACATGGGTTGTCGCGTTATTATTAATAGCAATAACCGATATGTTTAATAACTATTATAAAATAATAGCGAACAGACGTCTTAAATACCAAAATTTCAAATCCACTTGAAAACACTCAAAACATTTCATCAAAATAAAAAAAATACAATATGTAGTTTTATTATCAAAGATTTAGTTACATTTCTTTGTATAGAAATAATAATTATAGATATTATCAAATGAATTACCGGTTTTAATTTATGGGATTGAAATATTTAGTATATTGGCCTAATAATTATAGTAATTAGCCTAATAAAACTTGTATCATTATCAAATCAGTGTTCTTTTATAATAACAAGTACTTATTCATAAATTCTAAATTCAAAAATCAAATATGCGATAGTATCCTGGTCGTAATCCACGTTGGATCATTTGTTTACGCACACATTCGCCTGGACCCCTCACACGGCATTGTCTCTCAAGATATGATCTTGATGAAATCTGGGCCCGAGGGCTCGACTGACGTCTTAATTAAGTTAATAAATACACACTCCATTTCATTACGCATACGTCAAATATAATCTGACGATATGCATAGATGGAAGTTTATTAGTGTTTGATGTAAACAAATAATGCTACTGGGTAGTAAAGTTTATATTCATACGTTGTGAAGATTGTTGAACAAACAAATGAAAGTAGTAAATTGAAAAATGACTACGTATTATGTTTACTACCATAAATGTGGTGTTTTAATATTCTATATGAATAAGATCTATGGATATTACAAAATAATCTAAAGAATTGTATGTACTAAGTATATAGTTAAGATTTTTATAAGCTGATAAAACTAATGGGCAGCACGTGCGAGCCTTCTGACAATGTGAATTGTGAGTGTCCATGAGTATCACTTAACCTCCTGCCCGTTTGCCCGCTACCTATTATAAAAAAAAAGAAAACATTTTATCTAGGAAAGAATCATACGTTTAAATTAAATTTATTTTTAATTTAATTATGACTCTCACGGTCATAAAGTTAATTGTTAATTATAATAAGTAACTTAAAGCAATAATTTCGTGTCTTTAATGCGCTTTTAAGAAAAGATCAGTTATATTTTATTATGTTTTAAGATAATCTTCATTCAAAAGTAACTGAGTACCATTTGATGACAAACTTCTTTAATCTTCATATATATAAAATTCTGGTGTCACAATGTTCGTTCCCATACTCCTCCGAAACGGCTTGACCGATTCTTATGAATTTTTAAATACATATTCAGTAAGGTTGAGAATCGGCTACTATCCATTCTTCAAAACCCTAAGTGATAAGGGGTGTCCACCTCCAAAAAAATATTTTTATTTTTAGACAACTTTTTTTGTTTTTATTTTTTTATGACAGCATACAAAAATACATACAACCCCCAAATTTCACTCCTCTATAATCAACCCTTATTTTTGATTATAGTAGATAGTTATTTTTATTGAACTAAAAAATGTTTCCTAAAAATAATATACATGGCAAAACAACATTTGCCTGGTCAGCTAGTATCTTATAATTTATAAGTTCTTTTATATTGCTTCCTTAAAAATACCACCTCGATGAACCAAGACATAATTTATCATTCACCGCTATGTACTCGTAAGCTCAGATTACAAACAAAAAACTGTCGTCCAGACAGCTTGGCACCGATTTTTTGTTCGCGCATACGTGCTAAAACAAACAGGACGTGTGGCTGCGACATAAATCTTTAACCGGAAATGGTCACGCGACCCTCATCTAATGGTTAATGCTTTAATAAATATCAGTTTTTATAACCGCCCATGAATATTTGTAAAAAAAATTAAATTAGAGTTATGTACCTACTTAGCTATGTTTATAAAATTGTTATATATTGTTAATATGGTGGTCTTAATAATAAGTCCTAAGGATCCAGGATCTTATCTCTCGATCTTTTTTGTCCTACAACATCTACTGCCAAAATATGACAATTTATATCAGAAATCTTTATATATATAATTCTTCTGTGAGTGTGTATGTAACTGAACTTCTCTCAAACGACTGGACCGATTTTGATGAAATTTTTTGTGTGTGTTCAAGGGGATCTGGGAATGGTTTAGATTCACAAATCAGCCCGGCAGATGGCACTGCAGTCGGTACTTTCATACTTTGCTTAATATCCTAATCGCTTTAAATATCATGCAGGACAACGTCTGTGGGGTCCACTAGTCTAATTATAAATATGGTCACTATTCCTCATAACTAATTCTATTTTATGAATGTTAACAAAATATAAATTTCTTTAAACATAGATCCAATCACTCAACAATAAATGCCTATCAGCCTTCTTGATGTACCTAGAGAATAAAATACGGCCGGTTTACATTTCTTCTATATTGTGGAATCATATATTTTACAAGCAACGAAACACAAGCGAAAGTTACTGGACCCTGCATAAATATACATCCTCAGGATTAATATGATGGAAATAAATAAAAACTATTTGAGAAATAAATACGAAACCCAAAACTATAAAACAAAATTTAGAGTTAAACAAACATTAATTAGTTAGTAAAAACAAAACAAGCATTTTATATTTTGCAATAAATACAAATTAATTTGACATAACATTTAGATATAATGTATTAATTGTGGTTTACATCGGCTTTAATTAAACGTGCAGTACTTTAAAATAGCTATAACTATTGACTAAACAAAATTATTGACACAAATATCAATCCTACAACACAAACCACTCTCTGTCAACATACCACAGCCCAAAACAAGCAAAATAAAATAATTCCGCTAATCTAACACGTTTAAACTGTAATTGTTACACGTGTAATACCGTTTTAACCGGTCATTACTTACGGGAAACTGGTAGGCCCTAGTGAATAATTGAGCGTTGCGTGAGAGATGGACTTGTGAAAATATGAAATGATTTTGTCCGGAGATTTAGCCCCGCGGGCGACATCCGACAAATGACGCTGTGAAATTGTCGGATTTATGAAGTTTAAATTGTTTAGCGGCAAATGGATTATTGCGTGACAGCGGTGTACGAACACGGTGAATTTATACAAATTTTCATAAATTAAGAACAATTTGGTAGCTACGCGTGCGAATCTCCATCTTGAAGTTCAAACCCCGACTGTGCAATAATCAATGGCGCTACAACCTTTTTAGGTCTAGGCCTCATATTTATGTATGTGTTTCATGATCATTTGTTAATCTAATAGGCAAGTAGGTGATCCTTCTGTGAGCCTTCTGTGTCTGACGCACGCTGTCGACTTTTTGGGTCTAAGGCAAGCCGGGTTCCTCACGATGTTTGACACCAATTAAAAATAACTTATTATTATGACATTATGTTAATGTTCTTATTATATGACATTATATAAATTAATATGACATTTGCTTGCCTATTTACATTGGTATGGCGGATTTTTATAAATAACCGATCTAATTGTACCACTATCTTGGCAAATAAACGATTTATCAGGTACCTACATACCTACCATCACACCATCACACAAGACAGCCGAATTAGGTGTAACTTACTTAAATGTATTTAATACTTTTTATTTATTTTTTCTTTCCTTAATGTTTGAACCTTTTTGTATATATTATGTATTCCATTTTTGGCTATATCTTTAGTGTAATTGTTTTTTGTTATATATTGTTTATGTAAGCAATAGGATTACGAAATAAATAAATATGTATATAAGTATATGAACTTGGTAATTAAAAGTGTTTGCTAAGATTTGTCCTTAATAAAAACCAGTTATTTTCAATTTCAACAATGGATCCTTGGAAAATTCCTGTTTTAAAATTCGTATTCGTAACTAAATAGTTTTCAATATTTTTGATGTGCTTTGGAAAGGCTTCCACAAATTATTTTCGTATACACAAGTCAAATAATACGATTGGCTAGACAAATAAATCCACGTGGCCCGGAAACGGAATCGGACACCTCGACCACGGCCCACCCGCCTCGGCCTGCCGTGCCTGACCACATCTTAGTTTAGCTTTTTGTTGCCCGATTTATAGTTCCGCCCGTGCCACACGTGAATAAATAGCAAATTTATTCGTAAGGGCTGCTATGCAATGTGTTTCTCTCTAAGAATGAAATATTGTAGTCATGGATTGGATAATAATATTATCTATCCTTAGACAGTTTATATAAATGTATATATATACAGACATTTTCAACTTACTGTTTGCTATTTTGGCGTGTTAAAACCGTATTACCTTATTGTGTTTAATTTAAAAATGTTTATATGTAACCGTTTAAGCTAATATTAAATTTAGATTAGAAAGCTATTGCGATTTAACCCTACGTGCGCCATCTATAATGCTGTATCAACTGTGGAAGCTTCTGTTTATCATTGGTCGACGTAGTAACAGCAATATACCATAGATGGCGCTTTATTAAAATTATGATCCCATAAAAGAATCTTTGATACGCAAACCAATTTTATAGAAGTGGTTTAAAGATGATTATGGTGTCGTTTATACATGATGGTACAAACGTTCAGGAGTTAGGAGCATTATTTGTATTGTTGTTAATGACGCGAAATTTTAAAAGTGAGCCTCACCAACCTACTAATATCGTGTAAGTAAATAATAGTTATAAATAATAGATACGAAAAAGTAAATTTACATGTGTTCGGTTTCAGGATTTCATTTTATTAAATTTATTAAGTAAAAAAATATAGCGATCATTAGTTGTGGCTCTTTTATTTTTTATTTGGTATCGGACGCGCTAAAAAGCGCCCATGCATAATTACCTCCTGTGAGGATCGGAGGGAGAGTAAGAACAGAGATAACAGTGGAGTTGAAAGAACTCTTAAAATATTATAACGTATTTAAGTAATAATAGTTTAAATTATAAAATAATTTGTGAACTGTCAATACTCTGTCAATATTTTTTTTACAAATAAATATGATTGAACTAATAGCCAAGTATCAATAACGACATTAAATCGGAGTAACAGATTAGTCCTGCCTTCGTAGTGAATAAAAATACAATACTTTCAGTTATTACTCGTAATTAACTAGTCTCATACACTGTTCAAACATTTACGAATCTATTACATCACTAATGAAACCAAGTATCTAATAAATTATTTTTAGATACATTTCCACTTGTGAGAGAATACAGTTTGAATATTATCAAACATTACATGGTAATTTCTAGTAAGGCCTAACACTGCCTATGTATTTATGAAGTGATTCCGTTACAGGAATTTTTATTTAATATAGGAAAGTGTCATTGGTTTGTTAGTCTAGTTCCCATATTACATCACTACGAATACAAAATAGGTAACAGATTAATAAATAAGTAGGATCGATAACGTTAAAGAACTAGGATTAATCTAGCCAGCCTTACTTTTCGCGAACACATCCGTTCACCGACTGATGCTGCATATAGGGGTCTCGGATGCGTTATGCGTAATGCTGATCAATTCTCGTATGTTGTTC